GACTTCGACCTCCGCTCAACCTTCGCCAACTGCCCCACGCCCCTATCACACACCCTTGGCTGCATCCCTAGCTCCACTCTCACGACACCCCCCTTAAACCCTAAACCTTCGGCTCCCACACACCCACCTACCTCAGCGGCAGCTGGAGCAGTGGGAGACGGAGGAGGAGGAGTTGCAGGTTACCCATTCCGGTCACCCCGATGCCCGCCACCCCCAAACCCTAACGCACGCAGGAGCGCGGGAAGCAGCACGGACGGTTCACGGAGGGAAAGGGAGGCGGCAGGGGATCTCCTGGGCGCCACGAAGGAGCAGGGCGCGGGCCCCCCGAGGGCGCCACGGCGGGTGACGGGAGGGGGGCCGCGCACGGGCCGCGCGGGGGTCTGGCACAGCCCATACAGGCCGCGCGCGGGCCTAGCGCAGGTCGCGCGGGCCGCGACGGGCGACGGGGGGCGACACGACGGCCGGTAGGGGGCGACGCGCGGTTCGACGGGGCAGAAAACATGCTCCGGGTAGACTGTTGGTTTTGTTGTTTATGTATATGTATATAAATTATTGAACTGGCCTTGTGGCGGTTGATCTCAGAGGCTTGCTAGCTGTACACATTGAGATGCATCGCTTGCTCCCTGTTCTTGACTGGTCGTGTCACCAAGCGTCTCTACTACTCGCTCTGATGTCGTATCAGATTATATGTACGTGTTTTATTTGTTAGGCTCTATAAATTGTATAATATATGGTTTAGGTTTTGTTACGGGTGCAATGAATCGAGGTAGCGAGAATTGCACTAAGGTGTCAAACGAGTACAAAATGTATACGCGGTAGTTGACTTGTGGCTGGCTCACCTACCTGCTGACTAACCTAGGAGAGCCGCCTCGTTCTCCTCCAATTCTGTACGTAGACAACAAGGCCATGCTGCCCTTGTGTCGGGAACACAGACTGGAGCACAAGGCGAAGCATATTGCTCTTCGCTACTTCCTTGCTCGTGAGCTGCAGCAGCGTGGTCAGTTGCGCCTTGCTTACATGGCCTCTGAGGCCAACGCTGTTGATATCTTTACCAAGGCACTTCCGCCTGGTGATCATGAGCGCTTCTGTACGATGCTAGGTCTTGTGCCTAGTTGGCCTCACTTGCTCACTTCTTGACCTTGCTTGTACTGTGATCTTTCTATACTTGCACTTGCCTGTTTACCTATATATATGATCTTGCATGTGAACTGGCCTTTTGGCCTTGCTCTTTTGCTCGGATTGTGTGGTGACGTTGTGATCCACCCTGAGCTTGCTTTGCTTTGATTGACTGGTCTTGTAACCTCTTGTTCTCCCCCACTTTGCCCATGGGGGTGTGTCAAACTTATATGCTATAGTCTGTGTAGGCTGAAGTGGGGTAGATTATATGGGGTACAACACTTCTAGGTTTTCCTACTTGTACCCACCTGCTTGCTAGTTCATTCATTCCTCATTTTTCACAACTGGAACTGAAATATACCGTCCTGTTCACTAGGCACCGGTATCGAAGAGTTAGGCAAAGGTTTAGAAGCAGAAAGGAGGACTTCACTAGTAAGCAGGGCAGTACATATAGCAAACCCTAATCTGGGTTGTACTCACTATTGAGTACCCCACTGCAGACTGGACAAACATAACATTCTAACACACCCCCATAGGCAAAGTGGGGTATAATCAGTACAGCATGCAATCATAACATAGTTCACAAGCACAAGTAAAGCTAGAGGTAGTCACAGAAGGCATGTGAGGAGTTGGGACTGTGAGAGGAGAGGAGATGGGAGGCGACCGCAGAAGCTGCAGACACACAGGAGCTGCTGGCTCTGTGGCTACCGAAGCAAAGGCCCGGATTACATGAGTAACTGGCTCTGCGGAGATTGTAGCCTCCTGACTGGAGCAACTGACCCACAGGCGACTGGAGACTACCGGAGATTGTAGCCTTCGGACTATTGGTGCTGCTGGCGACACGACTTCGACCTCCGCTCAACCTTCGCCAACTGCCCCACGCCCCTATCACACACCCTTGGCTGCATCCCTAGCTCCACTCTCACGACACCCCCCTTAAACCCTAAACCTTCGGCTCCCACACACCCACCTACCTCAGCGGCAGCTGGAGCAGTGGGAGACGGAGGAGGAGGAGTTGCAGGTTACCCATTCCGGTCACCCCGATGCCCGCCACCCCCAAACCCTAACGCACGCAGGAGCGCGGGAAGCAGCACGGACGGTTCACGGAGGGAAAGGGAGGCGGCAGGGGATCTCCTGGGCGCCACGAAGGAGCAGGGCGCGGGCCCCCCGAGGGCGCCACGGCGGGTGACGGGAGGGGGGCCGCGCACGGGCCGCGCGGGGGTCTGGCACAGCCCATACAGGCCGCGCGCGGGCCTAGCGCAGGTCGCGCGGGCCGCGACGGGCGACGGGGGGCGACACGACGGCCGGTAGGGGGCGACGCGCGGTTCGACGGGGCAGAAAACATGCTCCGGGTAGACTGTTGGTTTTGTTGTTTATGTATATGTATATAAATTATTGAACTGGCCTTGTGGCGGTTGATCTCAGAGGCTTGCTAGCTGTACACATTGAGATGCATCGCTTGCTCCCTGTTCTTGACTGGTCGTGTCACCAAGCGTCTCTACTACTCGCTCTGATGTCGCTCTGAGGACAGCGGCTCCTAGGGGCTAAGGTGCGTGAGGCCCTTCGAGTGAAAAATCAAAAGTTGATTTCCTGCTGTGCGGAGATGCGCGGTCCGAAAGAAAGGGGCTCTGATACCAAGTGTTACGGGTGCAATGAATCGAGGTAGCGAGAATTGCACTAAGGTGTCAAACGAGTACAAAATGTGAGCGAAGGCATGAGCGAACATTTATACGCGAAACATGCAAAACGGTAACGCGGTGCGTGCGAGCTTGCTAGTGCTACGCTGGAGCGAGGCTCGGGCTAGTCCCGAAGCGTAGGCCGATACGGCCATGCCAGCAGTGCGAGGTTTGGTAAAACAGTGCGCGCGAAGTCGGCGAAGTTCCGTTAGCAGTAACGGGCGAACAATCGGCTGTTGCTGTACGCGATGTAGTCGGCTCCGTAAGGAATGCCGAGAAAATTCCTTACAGGTTTCCTCACCACACTTCCACTTGTACTAGTATACCACTTCCGCTTCTTACTACTGTAAGGGCGCACATTTTTTACAAACTATCATGTTTGTATACACGATGCAAATCGTTATCACGTCCATTTCCCTATCCCATTCAAAAACCCCATCATTTGTGCGTTTGAATACGACAATGACACATCGTTTACTGTCATAATTTTTTACTGCAGCCATTGATAACGTAAATTATCATGCGTGTAAACGCTCCTTCGTAAGATACTTTGAGATGTTAGTAGTATTTTTTCGTATGCCCATTGTTGTAATTTTTTTACCTGTGGAGAATTAGGTGATAAGCATATGCTCATTTCAACCAACTTGATACGGAGAAAATATCGTTCATATAGATTATGAGCATATAGTATATGGCGGACAAACAAGACGAATATGCTTCAAAGTATAGTTTAAAGGATACAGTTCCGCCAGACTTAGTTTCTGTCTTTAGCGAGCACTAGTTCTGTTGATAGATAAGTATTGTACACATAATTCTCAATAATTGCACAGCTTAGACGCGCTGTTTTGAAGATACCATAGTTGTAATTTGGCTTGATATCGGACAAATAAATGACTATCAATAGACAACAAGAGGTACAAATTAATAAAACCCGCACTTTCTGTTCCGATTGGTGGGAGAGAGAGGGTGGTGGTGATTGCCCCTGATATTCTTGTTCCATTCTGTAATCGTGACAGGGTTGTAGGACTCTCCCCCTAAAAAATTGTTGTACATCGTTAACTACCCTGCGAGTAAGTCTTACCAAGGGTTTGTACCAGAGAATTAGTTATAGAGTTTGAAAATTTAGAGAACTTTGTGTAGAAAAGCACCTTGCAGTCATAGGAAACTGGGGAGGAAACTGAGGGGGTTGTGGGCGTGGAGGAGGCAGTTGGGTTTCATTCGACATGAAAAGGTCAGCGGTTCAGTGCTCTACAACCTCTTTCGCGCTACACTGGCAACGGGATTCACCGGCTACAGTGAAACTGTTCCTTGGACGTATTTGGAATTGCTACAATAACCGTCTCTAGGGGTTGAGTGATTCGCAATTTCGTTATCCTGGGTACCCTACCGAGCCATATCAAACGCTCAAACGACCATCTTCGAAAGTAACGAACCACGTCAAACCGTACTGGTGCAAAAGTCCACTAAAACGCGTCCTCTGGCGCGTTGAGCCACAGGGCCCATATAGCCAATGACAGTGTAGCGCGAAAGAGGGTGTACAGTTCTCATGGCTGTGTGCCAGTGCACATCAACACAGCAGCTTCAAGTGGGTGTCTAGAGGCCAGGGGTAGGCTGAAGGTCAACTCTTCGAGTCTCGAAGGCGCAGCAACTGGGTGACTCGACCTGGCAATTCTCGGCCCTTGGGTCAACTCTGCCCAAGATGGGATCCATTTCGACCAAAATCGCAGCAGAAACTGTAGCTCAGTTCTCCTTTTTGACCCCGCATTCCGGGGTGGTTATAAATATTGTACAAATACATCACGAGGGTTGTTCATTTTCCTTTTGCCAACTTCAGTCGTTTGATGGCCGAAACACACAAATTACTGAACTGAGGCCAAACTGGAATTGAACGGGCTTGCTATGGTAATGTTCCAAAGTTTACCAGATTTTCAGAGTAATCCGGGGTAAACCATCCTGCAAAACGGTGCTGCTTCAGAACCCACCCAACTCCACCCAACTACTGTATTTTGCTCAACGTTCAGCCCATCTCCTCTGAGCGCTCAACGGAAACAGCACAGGCTTCATGCACGCATACCGAACTGTCGCACAAACTTTCGCACATAGTCGCACGGTCCATTCTTGAAGCGCCAACGTCACACAACCTCGCCATTTGTCGCTCCTGCCCCCTAGAGTAGTAAGGTCCTTTTTGCAAGGCGGTATTAAAAGTAGATGGGAGGATGGAAAGAGCAGGGATGGCTTGGGAGGGGAAAAGGCGGCGCGGGGGGGGAAAGAGCTGATACAGCAGGGGAAGGGAGTGGCCGGGGTGGGGAAAAGGAGGGGGAGATGACGGCAGGGGCGGGTGCGGATGATGAAGTGCCGCTGTTGGATGACGAGGAGGTGGCGCGGGCGGACAAGGAGGTCATTCAGGGTACTGAGCGCACCCACAGCCACCTAATCGCCTCCTGCTTTGATTCTTTGAGTGGTTGAAAGAAAGAAAGAAAAAAGGAAATCTTCTTCCATCTTTCCATGTTTCACCGAGACCCGTGGCACATAGTAATATCGGCAGATGTTGTGCTGTATCTGTCCTTCGAGGCGCTTGCAGTCTTGCAGGACGACGAACCTATCCCAAGAGTCACGGGCAAAAATTAACCGTTTAAGGCGCCAATGTGACCCAACCCACCCGTATCTTTGAAGACACTTAATTAGGGTCTCAGACCATGTCTTTGAAACCTCCTAACGGGTCCTTGTAGACAGATCCGGGACCGCGGCATATTTGTCTCGCTCGCTTCTGATGATAAAGGTGGCACTTTCCATTGCCTCGCGTGTCTCTGTGCTTCCTAGTCCCTATCCTTGTTGGCCGCCGTCCTGTGCGTAGCCAACTCTGTCCTACCACATTCATACCCCCTGCCTTTCTTCCCCGTCCTTTCGCTGCCCCCTTCCCGCTCCCACATCCCGTCACAATTCCCCCTCTCCCCCCCCCCCCCCCTCTCCCCCGCCCTCACCACATTCCTTTGCCCTTCCCCCCGTCCTCTCAACCCCTTCCCATCCTTTGCCTTTCGATGCCGTCCTTCCACCCTCTTCCCTCGCTCCCCATCACGCGTGCGCGCGCGGGGGCGGGCAGCGGTGTTTGAGCGCGTGGTGGAGGCGCAGGCGCAGCTGCACAACTACAAGAGCCTCGTCATTTTCGCGCTCTTCACCGCTCTCTACCTCCTCATGCTCTGCCTTCAGGTGCCTCCTCATGCTCTGCCTTCAGGTGCCTCCTCATGCTCTGCCTTCAGGTGCCTCCTCATGCTCTGCCTTCAGGTGCCTCCTCATGCTCTGCCTTCAGGTGCCTCCTCATGCTCTGCCTTCAGGTGCCTCCTCGTGCTCTGCCTTCAGGTGCCTCCTCGTGCTCTGCCTTCAGGTGCCTCCTCGTGCTCTGCCTTCAGGTGCCTCCTCATGCTCTGCCTTCAGGTGCCTCCTCATGCTCTGCCTTCAGGTGCCTCCTCATGCTCTGCCTTCAGGTGCCTCCTCGTGCTCTGCCTTCAGGTGCCTCCTCATGCTCTGCCTTCAGGTGCCTCCTCATGCTCTGCCTTCAGGTGCCTCCTCATGCTCTGCCTTCAGGTGCCTCCTCATGCTCTGCCTTCAGGTCCGCTTCTCCTCATGCTCTCTTCCTTGCCTGCCCATGCTCGCCATTTCTTGTGCTTGCATGGATCCTTGTTCCTCTCGCATCCTCTCCCTCTCGCATGCTCTCCCTGCCGCTAAGCCTGCAAACAGGAAGAAGCAAGCCTGCCTGTTACACGCACTTGAGCAGTGATATTTTTGAACTAGCACTGAGAACGGCTGGCCCCGGTCAGGCCACCCGAGCCCACCCCATTCTAATTGTGAATGCCAACCAAACACGTGCGGATCTGACACAGCACCATGTCTGCGCGGATGTGCCATCAAGTTAAACTGACGTGGGCCGGCCCAGCCGGGCATGGCGTGTGAGCAGGTCAGCTGACCCTGGCCCTGGCCCTGCTGGCCCTGGCCCTGGCGCTCATGCCGAGTCACGACTCAAGACCTCTCGTGGTGTCCCGCATTGTGCATGCTCGCTCTGCTCGTGTCTGTGTGTCATGCCCCCCCCCACCAGGCGCAGTCCTTCCACAGCTACCAGGTGGCCACCGCTCACTCCGTCCTGCTGCCTCCGGTATGCCTTCGGCCGCCTCTCCTCTGCCTGCCAGCTGCCCTATCATGCGCCCACCATGTGACTTCACTTGCTACTCTGGCACAGCCCACCACGTGCCTCTCCTCTCCCTTGCCACCACCCGTTTCTCCCTTCCAATCGCAGCCGCTGTCCTCCAACCGTTGGCTCTCATGATTCTCTGCGCGCACGCGCGCGCGTGTGTGTGTGTGTGTGTGTGTGTGTGTGTGTGTGTGTGTGTGTGTGTGTGTGAGTGTGTGTGTGTGTGATTGGGCGAATGTGGGCGTGCATGGTGTGCATGCTGTGAGGGCGGCAGGACTACTCCAAGGACTCGAGCTACTCCTTTGCCAGCAGCAGCGCTTTCTACACCTGGCTCAATGACAGCATCATTCAGGTGATTGCAACGACACCATCATTCAGGTGATTCCAACAACAGCATCATTCAGGTGATTCCAATGTTCAGCTGATGTTGTGGTGATTCCAACGACAGTATCATTCAAGTGATTCTAACGACAGTATCATTCAGGTGATTCCAACGACAGTATCATTCAGGTGATTCCAACAACAGTATCACTCAGGTGGTTCTAACGACAATCATTCAGGTGATTCCAACAACAGTATCATTCAGGTGATTCCAAGGACAGCATCATTCAGGTGATTCCAACGACATTGTGATTGAGGTGAATACAGTGAAAACCATTCAGGTGGTCCAAGGCTCACGTTTTCATTGACTGGTCGAATTCTGGTGGTCAGGGGTTGGTTGTGTTGATTTCTCCGGGAGCCCACACAGCAGTGGGAACGATTCAGCTGCTCCAGTGGGACCAGTCAACCCAGAATATCCAGAGTCACGCACGTCGCCCGCCCCCCCTCCCGCCCCTGCTCAGGCCGTATGGACGGACCCGCAGTGTGGCGATGGCACATGCACGCCCCCCATGGAGGTACCAGCGGTGGGTCGCTTCGGGTGCGCCCTGGACTGCGGGTTGGCCAGCAACGTGACGGCGGTGACGGTGGCGCTGCGCTGGCGCTTTGCATCCACGGACGCCATGGCGGCCTCCTCCTGGAACCTCTGCTCCACCTCCATCCGCGACGTCTGCTGGTGAGCCGCCATCCGCCACGTCTGCTGGTGAGCCGCCTGCACTGCGTGAACGACTCAGTTTGTGTGAGATGTTGGGTGTGGTGTATGCTTGAAAATGGAGGGTTTTGATTCGACCTTTCAAATCCCACAATAGCATCCTACCTTCTCCTTACCCACGCTCTCCCCACACACCAGGTTCGAGGGTGCGCAGGTGTTCACGGAGGTGGCAGGCTGGCACACGCTCACGCTGCAGCTGCCAGACAACGACTGGTTCGTCTCACTCACTGCACCGGACGGCGGGGTGAGCGTGTACGTGTACGAGTCACAGCCCACCACCAGCCAGGACGGACCACTGCTGCCTTCAGCCTCCCTCGACGCAGCTGCGGCAGCAGCAGCATCAGCAGCACCGCCCTCCTCACCCACTCCCGCGCCTCCCCCCTCTAGCGCCGGCGCCCCTGCCTCCTCGCCCTCTGCAGCGCCGTCTCCTTCGGGGGGCGTGAAGGGGAGGGTGCGGCCGTCCAACGGCACGGGCGCTAACGTGCTGCTGGCGCTCATCGATGGCTGCGTGGCGGATGGCGAGAGCGGTCTGCAGCGGTGCAGAAAGGTATGATGGAGAGTAGTTATAGGCAGGCTGTGTTAGAATTAGGCTGTCAACACTTTGTGTACTATATTCTATATCGCGTAGGTTATTTGTGGGTTGGGTGTAGTTTGTGATCCCAACCCTATCTGGTTGGGGTTCCTTCGTAATCCTGCAAATCTGCCAACTCACCAATTGGAGATTTGCTAGGATTCCCATCCCATCTTTTCCCTAGCCTTGCCCATCCCAACCTCGTTTGTACTTAAGGCCTAGTGCCTTCTTTCTTAATCAATCAGTTCAGTTCCAATTCTATCAGGCTGGTGCAGTGGAAAGGAGGGCGTGCAGTGCAATATAGTGCAGCGAGGTGCTGAGGGCCCGGTATTACCGGGTTGGTTTGCTGAGTGGCATGTGCTGAGTGGCATGGAGGCGACGTGCCGCTGTTAGCGTGTGGAATCTGTGGATCGCTGTGTGGCACATGGGGAGAGTAATGGGTAGCGGCACAGAGCAGAGCAGTCTGACCTCACAACACAGAGCAGGCTGTGAGGTGGTGTCCTTCCTTGCATGCTACACCCTCACTCTCGTATGACTCGACCTCCTTGCCTGCACCTTATCCTCTCTCCGACTCCGTCTCATCCCCACATGTCTTCTCTCCCTTTTTGCCCCAGACTTGTGCCGTTTGGACTCTCTGTCTTCCACAGCTGTGCACCAACAGTAGCAGCAACGGCAGCACTAGCACTAGCACTAGCAGCGGTGATGCTACGGCTCCTCCCATGCGGGCGGCCTCCTTGGCTCTGGGCAGCTGCTTCCAGGCCTGCAACGCCATGCTGCCCCGCACTTCCTTCCTCCCACCTGACAACGTCTCCTGCCCCCAGGTTCTTCCTTTCTTTCAAACCCACTACACCTCCACCATCATTCTAACCCAACTATCCGTTCAGTGCCATGTCTCATCACTTCCCTGATAGACAAGTCTGTTTTGAGATTTCTCTGAAAATCTAACAATCAGTTCACTGGGGCTTTTTCATCAGTGCAGTCTTGTGTGAACACTGCTTTTGCCACTGTCTGGCTACTTGTGAAGCATTGCCATCACCAAATGATGTTCCCTGTCGTGATCGCATATACCACATCCCTACCCAACTCCATGAATCAATTGACCTTGCAGCATACCGACGTGTTCCCCTGCTGTCCTCTTTCTTGATCCGCCTCTATGTATCCTCCCTCTCTTCCCTCTCTTCCCCCATCCGGCAGGCATTCACTCTCTTCGAGCCTTTCGTCCAGACGCCCTCATGCACCGGTGCGCCCTCCTGCCCTCCCCACCCTCCTGCCCTCACCACCCTCCTGCCCTCCCCACCCTCCTGCCCTCCCCACCCTCCTGCCCTCCCCACCCTCCTGCCCTCCCCACCCTCCTGCCCTCCCCACCCTCCTGCCCTCCCCACCCTCCTGCCCTCCCCACCCTCCTGCCCTCCCCACCCTCCTGCCCTCCCCACCCTCCTGCCCTCCCCACCCTCCTGCCCTCCCCACCCTCCTGCCCTCCCCACCCTCCTGCCCTCTCCTCCACCCTCCTGCTCCTCCCCCCCACCCTCCTGCCCTCCCCACCCTCCTGCCCTCCCCACCCTCCTGCCCTCCCCACCCTCCTGCCCTCCCCACCCTCCTGCCCTCTCCTCCACCCTCCTGCCCCTCCCCCCCAACCCTCCTGCCCTCCCCACCGTCCTGACCCCACATTTCGCTATTTCACGCCCTTCCCACATCTTTCTCTCTTGCCGTAATGTTTCCCTCTGCCATGAACTGGTGTGCCACCGTTACTTTGCTCCTTTCCGCCCTTGATAGACTCTCCTAAGGACGTCAGTGTACGTCCCCTTCTTGCTTTTCTATAAAGCAGCCCCATGAGGAGTCACGCTGTGTCACCTCTGCCATTGCCTCGTGTGCAGACATCCTCTCGGAAACTGCTGTTCCTGATCAGGCAGCCACAGCAACAGCAGCAGCAGCAGCAGCAGCAGCAGCAGCAGCAGCAGCAGCAGCAGCAGCAGCAGCAGCAGGCCCATCTTCTTCCCGTCTTCTCCTTTCTGCGTCGATTCCCGATAACGCAAATCAGCAAACCGTCATGTCATCTGTCGTCCAGGTCCGTGCACTGCGCTGTCTGCACTGCACTGTCTGCACTGCGCTGTCTGCACTGCCCTGTCTGCACTGCACTGTCTGCACTGCGCTGTCTGCACTGCGCTGTCTGCACTGCGCTGTCTGCACTGCGCTGTCTGCACTGCGCTGTCTGCACTGCGCTGTCTGCACTGCACTGTCTGCACTGTGCTGTCTGCACTGCGCTGTCTGCACTGCGCTGTCTGCACTGCGCTGTCTGCACTGCGCTGTCTGCACTGCGCTGTCTGCACTGCGCTGTCTGCACTGCGCTGTCTGCACTGCGCTGTCTGCACTGCGCTGTCTGCACTGCGCTGTCTGCACTGCACTGTCTGCACTGCGCTGTCTGCACTGCGCTGTCTGCACTGCGCTGTCTGCACTGCGCTGTCTGCACTGCGCTGTCTGCACTGCGCTGTCTGCACTGCACTGTCTGCACTGCGCTGTCTGCACTGCGCTGTCTGCACTGCGCTGTCTGCAGCCCTGTCTGCACTGCGCTGTCTGCACTGCACTGTCTGCACTGCGCTGTCTGCAGCCCTGTCTGCGCTGTCTGCACTGTCTCGACAGCACTGGCATGGCATCACACACCTGCCTCTCAGTGGTTCTCTTGGAATGGAACACTCGTTTAGGACATGTTAAGAAGCTGCAGGAGACATAATGCTGATGCTATATTTCCTTGCTGCATTCTTTCTGCCTCGTCTGTTTCAAAAACATCTCTATTGTCTCCACTGCTGCCCATGCACTCCACTGCTGCCCATGCTCCACTGCTGCCCATGCACTCCACTGCTGCCCATGCACTCCACTGCTGCCCATGCACTCCACTGCTGCCCATACACTCCACTGCTGCCCATGCACTCCACCGATGCCCATGCACTCCACCGCTGCCCATGCACTCCACCGCTGCCCATGCACTCCACCGCTGCCCATGCACTCCACTGCTGCCCATACACTCCACCGCTGCCCATGCACTCCACTGCTGCCCATGCACTCCACTGCTGCCCATGCACTCCACTGCTGCCCATGCACTCCACTGCTGCCCTCCTGGCCACTGTGCTCGTTCCTCTGCTCGCCGCTGCCACGTGCAGCACCACCAGCAGGTGAGGCAGCAGCTGCAGGAGACAAGGGCGCAGCAGCATGAGGCGGTTGAAGCAGCAAGGCAGCAGCATGCCGTGGGGGAGGCACACGTCTCCGCCACTGCCACCACTCCCAACACCACCAGCACCCGCCTCGGGCCACCACAGGGGCCTCCCACTCCGCCGCCATCGCCACCAGGTGCCTGCTGCTTCCCCACCCGAGCCTTCACTTCTTTTCCTGCTGCTCTCTTTGCCTTGCACGTTCTTCTCTCCCTTCTTTCCATTCCCTCTCACCCTTTCCTCCACTGCTGCCCTTGCACTCCTCCTTGCGCCTCCTCTTCTTCCCATCAACTCCACCAAGGCCATATTTCAAGCTGATTGGCTTCTTCTCTTGCTTTGTTCACTCTCGTTCTAGAGGCACATAAAAGACCTTTCTTATAACAAGCTGAGGATATCCGTCTGCTTCGAACCCGCCGATCTTTATTCTTTCACCATCCGATTCATCTCGAATTGGTTCGGGTTCGACTTGAACCAGATTGACCGGTTTGAAACGGCTGTGCCTCGCGACCCACGTTGTGCTGGTCCCAGGTTGTGCTGGTCCCAGGTTGTGCCGGTCCCAGGATTCACCTCTCCACCCGCAGTCGCCTCACCTCAGCCTTCCTGTCGTTCTCAGATTACCTTCCTCTTCGCCTATCCCTGCACCCGCCCTTCCCTGCACCCGCCCCGCCCTGCAGCGTCTGCCGCTGCGCCAATCAAGCGAGACCAGCTGCTCGTTTGGGAGAGCCTCGGGACTTCCGAAATTGAGCAAATCAGGGCGTGCCAGGTGGCAGTGGCGCGGGCGCTGTACACCGCCGTGAAGGAGAACTGCCTGGCCGGGCCGACAGGTGGCGCCAGCAATGGCAGCAGCAGCAGCAGCATGGGCAGCGGCGGGTTGTTTCTATCGTCCTCGCCGGCCAAGAGCCTCTCCCTTGCCTCTCGCAATCGCCTCGTCGCCTTCCTCTGCACACTCTTTGGCGGCCCTGTGGCCGATCACCCCCTCTGCAACTTCACGGAACCCTCCTCTGGGCGGCAGTTGAAGGATCAAGCAGAGCTCTTGGAATACATTCGAGCGACTCACCGCACGTACGGGGCTCACAGGGGGGCTGAGAGGGGGGCTGGGAGAAGGGTTGGGAGGGGGCTGACTGGGCGCTGGCAGGGGGGCTGAGAGAGGGGCTGAGAAGGGGGCTGAGAGGGGGGCTGACAAGGCGGCTGACTGGAGGACTGAGAAGGTTGCTGACTGGGGGACTGAGATTCTCATCTTTGCGCCCTCTAGGCTAAATTCTAAACCTGAACTCACTTCTTCTCCAGCTTAGAAGACCACCCAGTTTGCTTTTCTATCCTCTCACGCCCTCTCTCCCCATTTTCCTCCGTTCTCTCCCACGCCTCCTGCCACTCACCTTCATGTTTTGTTGTCATTGTCCCCAATCCGCTGACCCCTGCTCATCCCACCCCTGCAACGCCTGCACAGTCCATCTCGGCGCTTCTCTGCCGCCCAGCAGTCTCTCTTCATCCAAATCCTCATCATGGCACTGCAGTCAGTCGTGCAGAAGATGCCAGATGATGCCGTCCAGGCTGCCACCCGTCTGCTGCATGCCTATGACGATGCAGTCGTCTCCTTTGATGCGTCTTCCTGCCCCCAAGGTGCCCTTTGCGTTCTCACTCACCCCGTTCACTGCTTCTCTCAGCTCTCATGCTCTGCTGCCATTAGACAACCCTTTGCTGCTTCTTGTTCTCTACCTCCCCACTCTGCCTCTCAAAATGCTTTCTCTCGCGCCAGTGCCCCCCCCCTTCTTCTCGCGCTGCTCTCCTCTCCTCTCGTGTGGCCCTCTCTGCTTTCTCACTCTCCATTGCCCCACTCACTCACTCAGTTCGCTTCAATTTGTTCCCACCCCCTATTGTCTCCCCTCTTCTCTTCCCTCCCCTCCATCCCTGAACCTCCCTCTCTCTTTCCTCCCCTTTCCCCCCACAGCCGACTTCACAGTGCTGTGGGACTCGACCTCCTTCGCCCGGCGGGCCATTGCGGACGGCCAGAGGGTCACGTGGGTGTGGAATGACGACAATTACCACGAGCTCAGAGGTGCGCCTGTAGCGAGCTCACAGGTGCGCCTGTAGCGAGCTCAGAGGTGCGCCTGTAGCGAGCTCAGAGGTGCGCCTGTAGCGAGCTCAGAGGTGTGCCTGTAGAGAGGTGAAGGATTGCGGGGTAGTAATGAGGTGAGCACGAGCGGGCCACATGAGGTGAGTGGCAACCCGCGGCGGGTGGCTCGTGGATGTCATGCTTGATGCGCCCACCCGACCTGTCTTGCCTTCACACCCTGCCACGGTCGTGGTGCTATGTGAATCGCTGAATTGCTCAAATCAAATTCCGGCATCATATCTCGTTGGCTCTTTGATGGGAATCCGCGTCTATGTGGGCTTCCAACAGTGGCAAGGTTACAAACGAGCCACAAGCCTCCGTGGGTGGTGACAAGGCAGCCATGTGAAAACGATAGCCTTACTTGGGTCATGGTTTCCCACTCACTCGTTACTTGATGCTCATGCCCATAGACTTGTGTGAGGCACCAGCATGCCATGAGGCACCAGCATGCCATGAGGCACCAGCATGCCATGAGGCACCAGCATGCCATGAGGCACCAGCATGCCATGAGGCACCAGCATGCCATGAGGCACCAGCATGCCATGAGGCACCAGCATGCCATGAGGCACCAGCATGCCATGAGGCACCAGCATGCCATGAGGCACCAGCATGCCATGAGGCACCAGCATTCCATGAGGCACCTGATTGCTGCAGCGAAACCATGGGAGGCTCAGCTGTTCCTCATCGATCCCATCTGCTTGTTTCCCCCCTGAATTCTCAGGCTGCTCCCTCCCGCACTCCTCCACTGCTCCCCTCTGCACTCCTCCACTGCTCCCCTCTGCACTCCTCCACTGCTCCCCTCTGCACTCCTCCACTGCTCCCCTCTGCACTCCTCCACTGCTCCCCTCTGTACTCCTCCACTGCAGGGCCGGTGAGCTCAGAGCCGTTTCTTGGGTTTGGAGCAGGGAGGCTCGGCCTATCACGGCTTGCCACGTGTGCATGGGACAACATCGGGCCCAGAGATGCGATGGATGAGCCTGCGCCATGCGTGCTGCGTGAGTACATTGTAGCGATGACGTGGCACCTATGGAGTGATAAGATAAGAGGCATGTGTGAAAGGCATGCTCGACCTCAAAGAGGTAAGCTTTCATTTCCAACCTGGGTACAGTAGAGGTAAGCCTGGGCAGAGGTAAGCCTGGGCAGAGGTAAGCCTGGGCAGAGGTAAGCCTGGGCAGAGGTAAGCCTGGGCAGAGGTAAGCCTGGGCAGAGGTAAGCCTGGGCAGAGGTAAGCCTGGGCAGAGGTAAGTGCACCGTCGCCCCCTTCCACGCTGTTATCATCCTTCCCTCACATACCATCACATCACGTACCCTTCATGCCCATACTGCATACATGTGACCTCCTCATGCCTCCCGTCCGTACACATGTGTCCCCGTGGTCTCTACTGCCTGCACCCTCGTGGTCCCTACTTCATTCCGCACGCCCATTCTTAGCCGGCTGCTCTCCTGACGACACATCAGCGCTTCCCTTGGCACTGATTCCTCCTCATGCTCCTCATGCTCCTCATGCTCCTCATGCTCCTCATGCTCCTCATGATCCTCATGCTCCTCATGCTCCTCATGCTCCTCATGCTCCTCATGCTCCACACTCTCCGCATGCTCCTCATGCTCCGCATGCTCCCCACTCTCCGCATGCTCCTGGCCGGATGCTCTCCTGGCAACACATCAATGCTCTCCTGGCAACACATCAATGCTCTCCTGGCAACACATCAATGCTCTCCTGGCAACACATCAATGCTCTCCTGGCAACACATCAATGCTCTCCTGGCAACACATCAATGCTCTCCTGGCAACACATCAATGCTCTCCTGGCAACACATCAATGCTCTCCTGGCAACACATCAATGCTCTCCTGGCAACACATCAATGCTCTCCTGGCAACACATCAATGCTTCCATTGGCAGCGATTCCTCCGCTTCCCCCTCGTGCTCCCCACGATCCTGCCCACAGGGTCGCCTGGCGACAAGGCAGGGGCGCATTTCACGTACACCAAGGTGTTTGGCACGGCGCAGGACATGACCGTCAAGGACTCGCCGCAGTTGCTCGCCTCCACTCTCCTCCGCGCCACCCCCCACCCAGGTGCCACCCCTCGCCCATGTGCCACCCCCCACCCATGTGCCACCCCCCACCCATGTGCCACCCCCCACCCATGTGCCACCCCCCACCATGTTTCACCCCCCACCATGTGCCACCCCCAACCCATGCGCGGCCATTCCAGGCACCAGTGGCACTGCCACGTGACAATCACTCGCACACGCATGCATGAACGTGCCATCCGTCCTTCAAGCTGCCTCACCTCACCGTCGCTCTCCCCTCCCTCTGCATGCGCTCTGCCATCTCGCCCTCTGCCATCTCGCCTTCTGCCATCGCCCTCTGCCATCGCCCTCTGCCATCGCCCTCTGCCATCGCCCTCTGCCATCTCGCCCTCTGCCATCTCGCCCTCTGCCATCTCGCCCTCTGCCATGGCCCTCTGCCATGGCCCTGTGCTCTGCGATGCTCATTGCAACCATCCCTGCAACGTGGCACTCTCTCACCCATCCTCTCGCCTGTCTCCATGCACTGCCCTCGCCCTGCCCACCCGCCTGCCCCCCAGCAGAGCCGCCACCAGCCACGTCTCTGCGGCCGTACGAGCAGCTGCTGGCCACGCGCTGTGCGCCCGCGTGTGCGCTGGCCATGCTGGCCAATGGCCGCTGCGACCCCGCATGCAACGTGGCTACCTGTGACTTCGATGGGGGCGACTGTGCCTGCGCCACTGCCAGCGCTGCTGGGGCTGGCAGCAGCAGTGGCAGCGCTGGAGCCGATGTGCAGTGGTGTGAATGCTCCGTGCTGCAAACGCGCGGGGTTGATGGCGGTAAGCAGGAAGATGCATTCAGTCTCATCACAGATATCTGCGTGTCCCTCTAGCCTCTAGACATGCTACCTTTACGCCGAAGCCTGGGTAGGGGGTGCGGATCTGTTTCCATGCAATGTGTGCTTTCATGCAATGTGTGCATGCCATCCATTTCCTGCAGATTGTGATTCTCCATCCTCCCCTATTCTTCCCCCGCTGTCCCCCTCTGCTCCCTCCACCTGTGCTGTGCGCCACCCACCGGGGGGATCTGGGTCATGCAATGTGTGCTTCCGTGCAACGTCTGCTTCCCCATCCTCCCCCATTCTCCTCCCCCTTCACGCCCCCCCCCCCCCCCCCCCCCCTTCTCCCCCGAATTCTCTCGACCTTCTCCCGCTTGCTCCACAGCGTGCTGTGAGGCGGCCGGGGTGGGAGAGGGCATCAAGGTGCCCTTCAGGCTGCGCCGCTTCGGCTCCACCGTGCATCCCCTCGACGCCACTCCCGCCACCAATGCCTCTCTGCTGCCGCGCACTGTCTCCCAGTACAACAGGTGCCGCACTGTTTCCCAGTACAACAGGTGCCACACTGTCTCCCAGTACAACAGGTGCCGCACTGTCTCCCAGTACAACAGGTGCCGCACTGTCTCCCAGTACAACAGGTGCCGCACTGTCTCCCAGTACAACAGGTGCCGCACTGTCTCCCAGTACAACAGGTGCCGCACTGTCTCCCAGTACAGCAGGTGCTTTCACTGTGTTATGCTTCCTCTCCGCATTTCGTCTCTCTGCTTGCTGCCCACCCAGTTACTTCCTTCAATGTCAGGCCTGACCACTGTGCTGCGTGCTCCTCTCACTCACTCTGCCATGCGCTGTGTTCCCCTCTGTATGTACCGTGCGTGGCTCGCGTGTGTCGCATCCCGCAGTGTGCTCGTGGGGCTGGTCATCGTGCAGTACCGCTGGAACTCCGATCGCTGTGGTTACAGCAGGTTAGTCACCCTCCTCACCCCAAACCAATCATCAACAGTCAAGAGCATCTGACCTGACCGTATGCAGGTTCTCCAGCCCCATGCACCTTTTCTGTCAAACCCTCTCACGCTGCTTGTGTGCATGCCAGCCCACGTCCACCAGTCCTCTCCTGCCTCCTGCAGGTTCTCCAGCCCCCTGCACCTTTTGAATCAGGCCCCTCTCACACAGCTTGTGTACATACCCACATTCACCATTCCTCTCATTCCTCCCCTCTCATCCGCCGCTCCCCCCTGCCTCACCCGGCGTGGCAGGTTCCACTTCCAGGACGCATGTGTGGGGGGGGAGTCGTCGAGGGCGTTTGGGGTGAACCCGGTGTTCCTGCCGTCCTCGTCGCTCTACAACCCCAATGTCGCCGTCAGCAACACCACTGCCTTCACCAACCAGCCCTTCGCCAACCCCTTTGAGCTCAACGCCAAGGGGCTGCCCTTCGGCTTCCAGCAGCTCGTGAGTCCCACCTCGCCTTCACCCATGCGCACCACCTCCCCCTCCAGTCCAGACCCCTTCCTTCCTTTGGTACTTCACTCTCCTCATGGCCCATTGTGGGCCGACTCAGGCTCCATCCATGCTGCTGATGCGTTGAGTCGATCCTGATTGAGACGTATGAACCTTGATGTGCCTGTGCAGTCAGTCAGTGCAAAAGATGCCTCTCTTGCTCTCTACACTCCCTTGCACTCCCTTGCACTCCCTTGCACTCGCAACCCAACCCCCACCGTGTCCACAGCCCGGCAGCGGGCGCTTCCCGATCGTGTTTGACGTGAATCTGGACAACGCGGGGGCAACGCGGCGGCTGCAGTACTTGGTGGACGGCTTCTTCATCGACAACTACACCCGCACCATCCACGTTGGCCTCATCACCCGCAATGGTAATTTGCCTCGCATAACCCGCAATGGTACTGTGAACTCTGTGTGCCTGTGTATTCACCTTGTTGACTGGCTTTCAGCCTGTGTGAGCTTCCCTCTCTTGTCTGCATGTGCACTCACCCTCTTTGTTCCCCCCCACCCCCCCGCCCCCCTTTGCCGGGCAGCCAACGAGCATCTATTCACGGCCACCAAGGCCACCCTGACGGTGCAGTCGGGCGGCAGCATGGAGGCGTCATTCCAAGTGCAGCCGGTGAACGTGGAGTACTACAACATGAATGAGAGCAGCAACGTGCTGCGCCTCGTGGTCGAGCTGCTCTTTGTGGCCGCGGTGGCGTGGAGCATCGTGGAGGAGGTGAAGGAGATGCTGTGGACGTGGAAGGTGCAGCGCCGCTCCTTCTGGCACTACACAAGCAAGGGCTGGAACTGGGTGGACTGGCTCTCCATCGCCCTCCAGATCACCGCCATCGCCATCTGGTCAGCATCCTTGGGGTGCCCACGCATGGGTTGAAGAGGCATGGTGGTGAAGAGACATGGGGTGAAGAGGCATGGGGTGACAAGGCAGGGGGTGAAGAGGCATGGGGAGACGAGGCATGGGGAGATGAAGCATGGGGAGACGAGGCATGGGGAGACGAGGCATGGGGAGACGAGGCAGGGGGTGACTGTCAGAACAAGGGTTGAATTCATTGATAAGAAGGGATCGGTTGTATGAGATGCAATCCCAAGGAGATCCTAGGGGAATCCAACCAATCCAACCAACCAGCCAAAGGAGGATAAGATTTTGGATGGAGATGAGGTTGGATAGGCTGGGGATGAAAAATATACACCCAACACAACTAGAAACTAAACTTGCTAAATGTGTAAGCCCTAAAACTTTTAAGGCTAACACACAAAGGGCAACCTATTTCCAACAGTGATGAGTTCTGGGGCAAGTTGAAGCGGTGAGGTGGGGACTGAGTGTGGTGGATCATTCTCGTGACGCTTACATTAAAGGAGTGCATGCGGGTGCTGTCTGACGGGCATACGGCACACGCCAACCACCTTCATCTTCATTCCAATGGCGAGTCCTGCTGCATGAAAATTCAAGTCAGACATGAGCATCGCACGAATTGGAACACGTTTGACTCAAACCTTTTCAAACAACATGGAACAACAAGTCTTCCCTAGACATGAGCATTGCACAAATCCGAACACGTTTGACTCAAACCTTTTCAAACAACATGGAACAACAGGTCTGCCCTAGACATGAGCTGAGCATCGCACACATCCGAATACTTTTTTTCTGAAAACTCATGTTCGAGTGTTCCCATTCATAGGCGAACACTTCGATGTTCGCGCAAAAATCATACGTGTTCGTGGCGTACTCAAACGTGTTCGAGGCGTACTCAATCGTGTTCGAGTTCGCTCCTGGATTTTCACTTTAGTGTCATACTGTGGCTTGCTGCTACTTCCCCCTGCCAGGTGCAACAAAGGAGGAATCCGTCAACAAGACATAGCACACACACAGTGTAGGAACCAAGCAACCAGGTCACAAACGTGCAGGCCAGTATCTAGCAACAGTAAGCCGCATTTACTCTAAAGTGGATCTGTGAAAAACGGGCTCCTAGTAGCAGAAATGCCTAAGTACCCTGCAATGTCCGCGATTTTAGCCATGTCTGAACTAAGGGCAGGTCCAACTTTGTACAGTCTCGTTTTTTTTTTTTTTTTTTACGTCAGTGCACTTGTCAGATTTGACTAAACCCCAGGGCGTACTCCTAGCATTTCCTGTCCAGTTCCGAGTGTACAGTTGGACTTTTGACGAGGTAGATTAACATTGCGAGGCACAGTACCTGGGTTGGATTGTTACCAAATATCTCGAGGGTTACCGCACCTGTGGCGGAGGGGGTCATTAATGGCAAAGGAAATTTGGCGAAAAGCGAGCGGTACTGTTCGACGTGTTTGACGCGAAACGAGTTGGGAGACGAATGGACAGTGAACCTTCGGATGTGTTTCGCACGTCCCGGGGCTCGTTTCCAAAATGTCATAATATATGTACGGTCTCCCGTCAAATGGATTCCGTACATTTAAAGGTTCTTTTACACGCCTAAATGTGGTAACTGAGCTGAAAATTAACCCTACATGTGCAAAGTTTGACCCGCCCTAAAAGCAAGAGGTTGAGCTTGAAATGAGCTAGATTTGTGCAACCCTAGATTGGAAACCAGCGCGGCCAATGTTTGCGTAGGGTAATTTTGAACTCGAACATGTTCGAGTCGAACCTTTTTGGCAAAAAAAAAAGAGCCATGTTCGGTTCGACTCGAACGAACAGGTGTTCGTGAATACGCTCATGTCTAGTCTGCCCTCCCAATCCAACTCTGCATGGAGTGGCAAGGCATGGGGTGACGACCAGCATGGGGTGATGACAATGCATGGGGTGGCGAGGCATGGGGTGGCGAGGCATGGGATGATCAGGCATGGGAAAAAATCAAGAGGTGAGAGTGGATTGATTGTGGTGGTTCAGTCACCTCCTGCTCGCGACGGTAGAAGAGTGAAAAACCTATGTCAGTTTCTCACACTTGCTGCCATGGCACGTACAGGATATCAGTGGCGGTGACGCGAGCACAGGGGTTCACCATCCAGCCTCACTACGACATCTACTACACGCTCGGCGACAACCCGCGCTACTGGTCGCTGCCCAACCCACCCGTGGGCTATCAGGCCGCCATGTCAGCAGTGGACACGCTTGGCTTCGTCACCAACCTCTGCGCCGTCTACTTTGCCCTTCAGGGCATCAAGTCAGTCTCGCTTCGCTCCCATGCCCCTGCCTCCATCGCGATACCACTTGCGACCAGCCACATGTCTTGAAGCTCTTGAACTTACCACCCTGCTCCCCCATCCCCTTTTTACCGCTTTCCACTCTCTTCTCTCTCCCTTCTTTCCCCTCTCCTCATCTGCCCCCTCCCCCCTTTCCCCTCTCCTACCTGCTCATTCCCCGTTCCTTTCCCCTCTTGCCTGCTCTCCCCTATCTCCCCTTTCTTCCCTCTCCGGTCCCCTTCTCCCCTCTCCCCCCACTCTACCGCCTCCCCCCCTTCTCCTGCCTCTCCCTCTACCCTCTTTCCCCCATCTCCCTCCTCTCCCCTCTCCAACCCGTTCCCCATCTCCCCACGCTTCCCTCTTTCCTCTATTCTCTCACTCCCCTGTCCCCTAACTTCCATGCTGCCTCCGTGTTTCTCTAGAACGCTGTTATCTGTAGCCCGCATCACAGCACGAGCACAAAAGGCTTCTCCCCCGCCACATGTATCATATCGGTGGTCGTGCTTGCCTTGCCTTGCCCCATGGTGCATGCCACCATCCGACCCCACCAGTGTGTTCATCATGGTGCTGCGCCTCTTGAAGCTGATGGACTTTCAGCCCAACATGGGCATCATGACTCGCTCCCTCCGAGTCGCCATGCCGTCTCTCCTCCACTTCTTCATTCTCTTCTTCGTTGTCTTCGTGGCATACGCCACCTACGGCTACCTGGTGTTCGGGATGACCTTAGTACAGGTGCGTGCCACTTGCGTGCCTCTCCCGTGTTGTTGTTCTCCCTAAACAATGTCACACCCAGTTAGTGAAGGCTCAGAGCGAACCGAACCAGGACCGGTTCGTTGGACCAATCATGGTCGGGTCAAGCACCGGCAGGGTCACAACCCGTTTTGACCCAAACTGGCTCTGGTTCGGGTTGAACCAGGATTGGGACGAAGGTACGATGTGTTCTAAGTTGGCATTGTATTGAAAACATAATACTATCATGGCCCTTGGCAAAGAGGGGCGACCTAGACAGTGATGGAGAATGGATGGGCTACAGGGCGACAGTGAGAGTCAGAGCGGGTGTTGGATTATGGGGGGGACAGGAGAGATGAGGGAAGGCGAGGAGAGGAACGGCAGGGGGTTAGTGGACGTGCGTGCCGGCACGTGCTAAGACCCAGAAGCAGGAGGGATGGGTAGGGGGCACAGTGGATCGCATGCAAAGAGAAGAGGCAACAAGTAGTGAACGGAAACATGCCACACAGAGAGGAAGGAGCGAGATCAGCACTTGTAGCCCCAGTTTGCTGAGCAGCATGCTCCGAAAGGATGTTTAGTTGCACCTCAAATTTACGTTCCGAGTCTGCCTATGATTTCTTCAGAGTGTTCTGCGTTGCAGGGTTGCTTCGGAGGTACTGAACGCTCAGCTATGTGTGTGCGTGCTTTCTTCGTTGCCCCCTTTTCCCCCAAGTGCAGTTCAGCACGCTGTGGCTGTCCCTGCAGACCTGCTTCTACATGATCGTAGGGCAGTTCGGAGTGTTCTGGTTCCAGCAGATGGTGGGGTGGCAGTACGCGGCGGCCATGGTGTTCTGGTTCTCCTTCGTCATCATCTTCTGCTTCATCCTCTTCAACTTCCTCATCGCCATCATCGTGGATGCCTTCATGGCCGTCAAGGTCAGTCAACAAAGGTCAACAGCAGTCAAGGTGAGTCAATGCTGGTCAACAGCAGTCAAGGTGAGTCAATGCAGGTCAGCAGCAGTCATGGCGGGTCAACGCAGATCAACAGCGGTCATGGCAGGTCAACGCAGGTCAACAGCAATCATGGCGGGAAAGCACAGGTCAACAGGGTGAAACAAGTCAATGACGATGAATGTGAGTCAGCAGTATGGTGTTGTGGTTCTCCTTTGTCACCTTATCCTTAGCGCTCTTTACCTTCCTCTTAGTTATCATCCGCTCCTTTCACACTTCGTTTTGTTCTCAGCATCACATATGGTTGGAGTGCGTCGTGACTCCTTGGCGCTCTGTATTTTCACCCTCCCTCCCTCCCGCTTGCACTTTTCTACTGACCCACGTGCACGGGTTGGCAGGAGTCGACGGAAAAAGCACCGGCAATCTACCAGGATATGTACTTGATTGTGGTGCGCTTCGTCCGCCGCGTGGCATCGCCGTACACAAGGTACAGCCGCCTGCTGCGCCACCTCATTCGCCTCGGAGCAGAGAACACCGCCAATGCGGTCATGGAGGTGAGCGGCCCGGCCAGGGAGGTGAGCGGGCAGGGAGGTGAGCGGGCAGGGAGGTGAGCGGGCAGGGAGGTGAGCAGGAATGTGCGCAAAGATGGGGATGCGTTTGAGAGGGGAGTGTAGGAGAGTGATTTTTTAGCTCTTACTATTTCCATCCATAAATAGGGATGTGCATGACCTGCACGATGATCCGCACGATGATCCGCATGACCTGCGAGAGCGCTGTTTGAACTCTGACTTCCAATTTCCAACCACATGGGTCCCCACTCTCTCTCTCGTGCGGGTTCCCACCAAACCAGTGCGGTCTAATCTCCTTAATAATCCTGCTTCGAGACGATGTGGCAATGAATGATGACTGGTTCAAGTCAAACTCGGGCAAAAAATCCTTAGGATGTCCTAGATTATATTTTTTTTCTTCTTCACATCGAGACCACAATTTGCTTACCAAAGCTCCTACACATCCTGAGCGGCGTCTGTGTCTCCCACTGCCACCTTCATTTGTGTCCCATTGTCCGCCACTCCGCAGAAGAGCCTTCGACAGTCCCGCCAGCAGTGCTTTGCGTCGAGCCTTCAGTGCGGCAAGGAAACGAGAGGCAGCAGGCGTGATACTGATGGGGGCAGGCTGGAGGATGCTGTTCGTGATGGCAATCCGGGGATGAATGGGGTGGAGGTGGTGGGAAGAGAGGGAAAAATGGATCCTTTTGAGGCGCAGCAACAAGTGTCAGCGATGGTGGGAGCAGATGAGACTAACTTAAGCCGGGCTGAGAGCAAGAAGGGGGTGTTGCCGAATGGTGGGGTCGCCAAGTCCCTGGCAGCCGGCAGCACCAACACTCAGGTGGACGCCCATGCTTCCACCACCCCTGCTGCTAATCCTGGCAGCACCGCTGCAGGTGATGCTGGCAGCACGGGTGGCAGCATGGTGGAGCCGGCAGTGCAGAGGCGGCGGAGCTTCTGGCGGCTGAAAACGCTGGATGAGCGGGAGACTGTGGTGGTGGTGGGGGAGAGGCAGCTCAACGCCCACTCGCTCTCTTCCATCCTGCGCCGCGCACACGCCCGCATGGTGAGGCGGGGGGCACTGCATGCATCACATGGGGGTGCATTATGGATGGGATGGGGCATAACATGCATGTCAAGGGATTTAATGGCTCATGGCATGTACGCCTGGTAAATATGCTGATATTATGCAGTCATCTGTCCTGAATGCTCCACATGCAAGCACCATCCCATCCGCCCTTGAGCCTCCAATCAGTCTGTCCTTGCCACTACCAGCACTCCACACACCTGTCCGCACACATCACGGTGCTGTTGTGGGAGATGGGGGATGGCCTCTCAGACTCCTTGCCTTTCTCTCCCATGCCTCTCAGACTCCTTGCCTTTCTCTCCCATGCCTCTCAGACTCCTTGCCTTTCTCTCCCATGCCTCTCAGACTCCTTGCCTTTCTCTCCCATGCCTCTCAGACTCCTTGCCTTTCTCTCCCATGCCATGCCATCCCATCCGCCCCTGCAGCGGCTCTCTCTCTCCGACGAGCAGGAGGGGGACCCCATGGACGTGGCAGCGCTGGGGGCGGTGCTGCTGTCGGAGCTGGGGGAGAGCGCGCCGCCTGCCGACGCCACGGCTGCAAATGGAGGCGAGGCGGCAAAGGAGGGCGACCTGCTGGCCATGCAGCAGCACGTGGAGGCGCTGCGGGCCGACGTGGCCCGTGGCTTCGACCAAGTGAGGCAGCAGCTCACCACCCAAGTCCAGAGCTCCCATTGCAACCAGTTGCCACAGGAAGCCAGTCCGAGCCTGCTCCCGAACCCGCTAGGCAATGGTTCGGAGGAGGCTGGGCAGGAGGTGTGGCAGCAGGTTTTGATGCAGGTGGAGAAGATTCGGAAGGAGGCTCAGAAGGAGCGAGAAGAGGGTATGGAGATCCTGCAGGAGCTCAGAAGAGAGTTGCAAATGCTGAGGGCAGCGAGAGAAGGGAGAGAGAGGGGAGGAGAGGAAGAGAAAAGGGATGGGAGTGGGGGAGGGGCATGAGAGAAGAGCATTGAGTGCAGGGTCAGAGTATAGTGAATGAAGCGAGTGCTGTTGCATCGTGAGCTGTGATGCTGTGTATGAGGCTAAGGGCGTATTCCTATCCTCCTATCAATCTGACCTATCAAGCTCACACTGAAAAATCCCCTAAACCCGAAACCTCTACTTTCCACATGCAGAAGGTACAATCTTGATAGGAGGTGGCTTGATAGGAGGCCGTAGGAATACGCCCTAAAGCTCCGTGGTGCTTGGCACTGCCAGCTGAGGAGTTGTAAGAACGAATTTTCTACCAGCTGAGGATTTGTAAGAACGTATATTCCCACACTTCACATGGACGCAGCATGTGCTGCTGCGTAGTGTGAAGTGGTCACGACCTGGTTCAGTCGCCAGTGTGGTTCAACATGCAGTAAGTTAATGTACAGTATTTACAAAATTGTTGCCAATGGAACAAGTACTCTAGTACTTGAGCCATGTTGATGTTACCGTCATACCCCGGATATAAGCGCCACCCGCGGATAAGCGCCTGGCGCTTTTAATGTCAAATGATATATATGTGTTTTATATATAGGTAGGCTGCAGTGGGGTAGATGTTATAGAGGATAGAACTTTAGGGTTATGCCCCTTGTACCAAACTCTCTCGACCATTTTTTTGACTCAACCTTGCCTAGCTATCTCATCATGGCATCTAGAGCAGGTTCTTAGGACCTAAGTTTAAGGGCCCATCGGTTACTAAGTTACCTCACCAACGGCCTGCCTGCCTGCCTTGCCTGTCTGTCTGCCTAGCCTGCTGCCCGCGCGCGCCTCGGCTGCGCGCGCACGCCTTTTTTTTTTAGCGCGCACTGCTGCTGCCCGCCGTGTCGGGCCCCGTAGGTCGCTCGCGCAGCCCGCCCAGAGCCCGCGCCGCCTGCGCGCGACCCGTTGTTGCCACGCGCAGCCTGCTAAGGCCCCGCGCGGCCCGTCTGCAGCCCGCGCGCCGCGTCCGTCGCTCGCGCGCAGCCCTTTTAGGCCCCGCGAGTCGCGTTTGCTGCCTGCGCGGTCTGCCCCAGCGCTGCGCGCAGCACCTACCGCCCGCGCGCAGCCCACCTAAGCCCTACACGCCGCGCCCGCCGCTCGTGCAGCTCATTGCTGCCCTGTGCATAGCGTCTGCCAGGGTTTAGGGTTTAAGCACAGTTGCCTACTACAGTTGCCTGCTGCCTGAGCCTGGAGCCTTTGCCTGCTACCTGAGTCTTTGCCTGCTGCGAGAGCCTTTGCCTGCTACCTGAGCCTTTGCCTGCTACCTGAGCCTTTGTCTGCTACCTGAGCCTTTGCCTGCTGCCTGAGCCTTTGCCTGCGCTGCAACCATGGCGACCCTTACAATTCTCGCCTTTGAGCCTGACGGCCGCCCCATCGAGTTTGACACCTGGCTTAGTGATCTGCGGCTTTACCTTATGACTGACGTCGCAAACGGAGTATCACTGCTCGCCTATGTGACTGGCACTGTTCCTACTCCCGCTGAGAATGCTCCTGCCCCTGATAGAGCACAGTGGGAGCTCCGCGATGCAGTAGCCCGCCTTGTTATTTGCAATCACCTACCGATCTCTGAGCGCGCGCATTTCAACCAGCTTAAGACTGCTAAGACGCTGTATGATGCTGTCGCTGCCCGCTATTCCGCCCCGGCCACAGCCACCGTTGGTAGTCTCATCCTGCCCTACCTATTCCCAGACTTAGCCTCGTTTCACACTGCTGCCGACCTTATCACTCACCTCCGCGCTAGTGACGCCCGCTTTCGAGCCGCTCTTACAGACGAGTTCCTCGCCAAGAACGCCCCTCCTCTGTACTTTACCCTCTACATCCTCGTGACCCGCCTCCCTGATAGTCTTCGCTCTGTCAGGGATCATTTCCTTGCCAAGGATCCTCCAACTATCACTCTGGACGACTTCGAGCAGCAGCTGGTCGCAGCAGAGAAGAACATCCTCGCTGTCGGTGCTGCTCGTGGCACTCCCCGCACTCCCCTCTTTGAGGGGTGCTCCCCCTCCCCTCTTGACCCCTCCTACGCCTCTGCTGCTACTGCTGTCGACTCCCTGGGTGTGGAGAAGGTCGCAGCGCCTTCCGCTCCTGGTGGGAAGCGTGGTGGTGGCAGGGGTGGCAAGGGTGGCCGGGGTGGCGGAGGTAGCGGTGGAGGGAGCGGTGGTGGAGGCGGCGGGGGTGGTGGAGGTGGTGGGGGTGGACGTGGGGGTGGAGGCGGTGGTTGGGGTGGCGGCAGGGGCGGTGGGGGCGGCAGCGGCGGTGGTGGGGGAGGAGGCAGCGGCATTGGCGGTGGAGGTGGGAGTGGGGGTGGATCCGGACAGAAGGGTGGCCAACAGTAGGAGCAGCAGCAGCAGCAGCCACAGCAGCAGCAGCAGCAGCTTCCTCCCCTCACCTCCCATCAGCTCAATGACTGGTATGCTGGGCGTGGGGCGTCTCGGGGTTCTGACCGCTGCCCCTATGTCATTCGTACTGGCCCCCGCAAGGGTCGCCCCTGCAACGGTTTTCACACTGAGTACCGCTGTTTCGCTAGGCTTAGTGACGCCTGGCGCGCCAAGTATCCTGATGCTGTTGAGTTTCCCAACTGGGCAGAGCTGCTTAGGCGTGATGTGCCTATCTTTGATCTGGACTATAATGTTATTCTTGCTACCATGTATGCATTGACTGTTAGTGCTGAGGGTGACTGCTACTTGTGTGTGCCGCCTGACCCTGGTATTGACCCCGGTATAAGGGCTGCAGCCCTAGGTGCTAGTGAGTCTGCTCCCCTTGGTACTGCGTCCGCTCAGGCCTTGCACACGTTTACACTTGACTCTGGTGCTTCCTGCTGTTTCTTTCGCGATAGCACCACCGTCATTCCCCTCCCTGCACCTGTCCCTGTTTCACTGGCCGACCCCTCAGGGGGCCCAGTACTTGCACGGTCCGCTACTGTGCTTCCCTGTCCGGCGGTCCCGTCTGGTGAGCTGTCAGGTCTCCATGTTCCCTCGTTCTCCACGAACCTGGTGAGCAACGCCGTCCTTCAGGATCACTGGGTTGACACCTGGACTCCTGGAGGGCAGCGTGTGGCGATCTGCACGTGCTCCAAGACTGGCCGCCACCTGGCCACGTTCACTCGTGAGCCGGGGTCCAGTCTGTACACCCTCACCACTGTTTCACGCTACACTCCTTTGTCTCCTCAGCTGTACGCATCTGCTCAGGTAGCTACCCAGTGTGAGTGCCGTCGCCTGTCGCACGACACTCTCCTATGGCACCACCGCCTTGGTCACCCCTCCCTACCTCGCCTTCGTAGCATGCACTCTCGCTCCCTAGTCTCTGGGCTTCCCAGGTCTCTGCCTGCCCTCCCTCCCTCGCCTGCGCCACCCTGCATTCCCTGCGTCGAGGGGCGGCAGCACGCCGCTCCTCACTCCTCCTCGTTTCCTCCCTCAGAGGCTCCGCTGCAGACGCTCCACCTGGACGTGTGGGGACCAGCCCGCGTCCAGGGACAGGGCCGTGAGCGGTACTTCCTGCTGGTTGTCGACGACTACACGCGTTACACCACGGTCTTCCCCTTGCGCAGCAAGGGGGACGTCCCTGCTGTTTTGATCCCCTGGATCCGCGCTGCTCGTCTCCAGCTCCGTAAGCGTTTCCAGTCGGACTTTCCCGTCCTGCGTCTGCACTCTGACAGAGGTGGTGAGTTCTCCTCCGACCTCTTACGAGCCTTCTGTGAGGAGCACGACATCACCCAGTCGTTCACGCTTCCGGCCTCTCCACAGCAGAATGGGGTCGCTGAGCGCCGCATTGGCTTAGTCATGGAGGTCGCTCGTACCTCCATGATCCATGCGGCGGCTCCCCATTTTCTGTGGCCGTTTGCGGTCCGATACGCCGCGCATGAGCTCAACCTCTGGCCCCGTGTCTCCTTGCCGGAGACCTCGCCCACACTGCTTTGGACGGGGGAGGTTGGCGATGCGTCGCGTTTCCGGGTCTGGGGTGCTCGTGCCTTTGTCCGCGATCTCACTGCGGACAAGCTCTCTGCTCGCGCCATTCCCTGCGTCTTCCTTGGTTTTCCTCTTGACGCGCCTGGCTGGCAGTTCTACGACCCCACCTCGCGCCGTGTCTTTGCGTCTCACGACGTCACCTTTGACGAGTCTGTTCCCTTCTACCGTCTCTTTCCCTACCGCACTGCCTCTCGCCCCCCGCCGCTCTTTCTCACTCCAGGTCCTCCCCAGGTAGACCCCCTCCCCGCGCCAGGTCCTGCTCCTTCAGGTGTTTCTCAGGTAGACCCTCCGGTACGTGCGCTTGCTGAGGTCACTGGTGACTCAGGTCCTGCTGAGGGTGGTCCTGCTCGGGGTGCTGTTCCTGGGGGTGCTCAGCTTGGGGGTGTCGAGTCTGAGGGTGCGGAGCCTGCGCGAGGGGAGCCTGGAGGTTCTGAGCCTAGGGGTGCGGAGTCTGGGGGTGCTGTGCCTACGCGTGAGGAGCCTGGAGGTGCTGGTGCTCGAGGTTCTGGAGCAGCTGAGGGTGCTGGCGCTGAGGGTTCTGAGTCTGCTGTTCCGCGGTCTCCTTGGAGTAGCCGCCTTCATCCGCGTGTGCCTCTCACCCCACAGCAGCTGCAGGACTGGTACGGTCGCCGTCAGGTTTGCGCTGCTGGAGCCCGGGGCTCTGCTGCTGGAGTCGCTGGTTCCGGAGTTGCTCGTACTGGGGGTACTGGGGCTGCTGGGGCTGAGGGTGCTGCGTCTGGAGGTGCTCCTGCTGGAGAGACTGAGGTTAGAGACCATGGGACTGGAGGTGCTGGTTCTGGGGGTACTGCTACTGGAGACACTGAGGTTGGAGACCCTGGGACTGGAGGTGCTGGTTCTGGGGATGCTGCTACTGGAGACACTGAGGTTGGAGACCCTGGGATTGGAGGTGTTGGGACTGGAGCTGGGACTGGAGCTGCTGGAGGTGCTGGAGCTGCTGGAGGTGCTGGAGCTGCTGGAGGTACTGGAGCGTCTGGAGCTGCTGGTGCTGGTGCAGCTGCGCCGACACGA